TTTTTTTTTTTTACTATATAAAGGAAAAATTACAGAAAAAAAAACAAAACAGTTTCCCCTATATTAAATTATAAAACATTTATTATTGCCCAATTTTTTGGTAAAATATAAGAGATGGGGTCACGTCGGGTAACAGACACCAAACATGTCAAGCCTTAAAATTGTGCGCACGCACGAAACCTCGAAAAAACTACAATACCCAAAATTGGCCATAGGCGACGCTTTAAAAGTTTTTACCACTCATCAGTTTAGTGTTATCAGTGATTGATGGCCCTAAAATGATTGCTCTCACTCCGACGTTCGTGGCAATACATAACATGTGTAGCGCAATTGTCGTTTTCACGCATCTGACGCATATTTACGTTTATTTGTGCGTAAACGTGGGGGTTGGGGACTTAAACATTTTTTTTTTTACTTTTTTTATATGTGACTTTTATTTTTTTAACTTTTTTAATTTATATTATAATTTATTTTTACACTTATTGTTATTGCTATTACATAGGGGGATAACAACGGGTTTTTCATGCCATGTGCGCGCACTAGGAGGAAAAAAATGCCGTCTGGGGGGCGGCAACCCGCAAATGTGAGTCTGCCGTCCGTCCGTTTATTCTCAACGGGCGGACGGCTGGAGGTTAAGGTGGGACTCCTACTTAAATGGCTTCTTTCACACTACATATTTTGTTTGCATACTTCATTTAATTTGGTCTCTTGTTTACACAGAATATCCCTTTTGTAATATATTTTCAAATTGATGTTTTTCTGTTTTGTCAACAATCTTTTCCTGGCATGACATACAATGAAATGTTACATCAATTTGAATGATTTTACATTTTCAAAGTCAGAACAACAGACAATGCTGATTTCATCTAAGATCCGTACATTTTTCACATATTACACAGTCTTTGTTGTTGGCAGAACTAGTATGTCTCCTCTGCCCAGTTTTAATATGATTCATATCCCACAGCTTAGGCTGTTAGAACAAGCAGTGTAGCATAAGATCTGTTAGGAACATACTTTTTACTCTGGGCACCAAATATGTCATGTGTTTTTCATATGTGTTACTGTGAGTTTGGAGATAAAGGATATTTTGCAACCTATTCATTTTTGGTGCAATTTTTTTTGTCAGGCTCAATTCTATCATCTTTGATACTTTATTTTTTCTTATTT